CTTTCTGGTGAGCACACACACCCTATAGCAAAAACCTCTCCAAAATAATAATAATAATAATAATAATAATAATAATAATAATAATATATGTATATATACACATGATAACAAGAGCCCATCAGAACCTCAAAGACATGAAGGAGACCAGACTCTAATAACCCACAAGGGTGTGCTGCAGTTTTCCATTGACACACAAACTTCTCTCTATAGTCACTCACCCTTTTTGATGAAAAATAATTAAAGTAAGGTTTTTTTTTTTTTATAAAATAAATCTGCTCTCATTAGATCTTGCCTGATCATTATAAAAGTCCAACGAGAATGGTGCTATTCAAGTTTTCTTTGCTGGACACTTTCATAAAGAATCTCAGATAAGACTTTTTAAAGGCTTTTCAAGACTAGGCAGCCCAGCGGAAAACTCATCACTAGACTTCTGCAGTACCCGCAGATTTGGACTGATTCCTTTCATCTGGAGGTCTTCAAGTATCCTGGAGTTTCCTGGGTCTTCCAAAAATGACCAACTTTACTCACTTGTAAGGCTGGAAATTCTATAAGCCAGGTACTAAGCCAGTTTTTCCAACAGGACTTTTGCAAGCTCCACAAAGTAAATCTTAATTTCTGAAAACTGTCTGGTCATACCTGATTCTATGCATCGTACTTAAAAATAACATCCTAGTCAAAAAGTCTTGCTCACATAGCAAATGTTTCCCATTATATCCTGTTACAAGGAAGACAGATTATTACTAAACCTATGCAAATAATTTTATTGCTATGAAAATTAAAATATTCAATATGAGTTTCCAAATTTTGAAGAGATCAGGCATAGGGGAAACAAAACAACACATGTTCCATTTCTGTTTATGATAGCATATCATAAACCTAGCTTCTGAGTCCAGCTGACCAGTTGAAAAGATACTGCACTGCAATGTTCACCACAATCTATTCATTGTTGGGAGTTACAGGCAGCCTACGAGAAAAGGGAGTTTTCTTAAATCCAGTAGCAACATTTTAAACAGAAACTATTCATCCTTCTGTTCATTCAGCTTCATATACTTCATTCTTATTCTGCTTCGTCTTAGTTGTGTTAGTCTGCTTAGGCTACCACAACAGAATACCATAGACTGGGTAGCTGAAGTAATAGAAATGTATTTTCTCCTGACTTCAGAGACTGGAAATCCAGGATGAAGGTGTCAGCAGAATTGGTGTCTGGTGAGGGCTCTCCCCTGGGATCACCGATGGCTACATGCCGTGTGCTCACATGGCCCTTTTTCATGGGGATGTAGAGAGAGACGGAGCATGAGCTCTTGGTCTCTCTTCTTGTAAGAACACTAATTCTATTGGATCAGGGGCCCATCCTTATGACCTCATTTAACTTTATTTACTTTCTTAGAGGCTCTATCTCCAAAAGCAGCCATACTGTGGATTAAGGCTTCAACACATGAGTTTCGGGGATGATACAAATATTCAGTCCACAACACTCAGCAGTTTAACAAACCTATCAGCTTTTCCACTAGAGTTCTAGAAATCTTCACTTGGTCTGCGCGTGGTCTCACAGTCTCTTAAGCAATGCTGACAGTGAGCATTCTTTGGTATGTTTGTCATCCCTTGTATGTCTTCTTTTCAGAACCGTTTGTTGAGTCATTTGCCCAGTTTTTGTTGTTGTTCTTGCTTTTGTTTTTTGTTTTCTGCTGAATTGCATGAGTTCTTTGTACTTTCTGGTTATTAATCCCTCGTCAGATGTATAGTATGTGAATATTTTCTCCCATTCTGTGCATTGTCTCTTCGCCCTGTTTAGCACTTCCTTTGCTGTGTAGACACTGGTTAGTGTGATACTGTCTCATTTGCCTATTTTTGCTTTTGTTGCCTGTGCTTTTGAGATTTTATTCAATAACTCTTCACCTACACCAATGTCCTGAAATGAAGTTTCTCCTATCTTTGTTCTAATAGCTTTATAGTTTTAAGTTTTATGTTTAAGTCTTTAATCCACTTAGAGTTGATTTTTTTGTTCATGGCAAGAGATGTGGGTCTAGCTAATTTTTCTGCATCTGGATGGTCAGTTTCTCCAGCACTATTTATTGAAGAGACGTCTTTTCAACAAAGGATGTTATTGACACTTCCGTCAAAAATCAGCTGGCTGGCATACATCTTTAATAGTAAAATGATACAAATATTAAAATGATTAAACTGTAACTGTTAGCATTTCACCAGGACATATTATGGACAGAAAGGAATGGCAAATTTCTATGAACTTCACATAATTTCTGAAATAGTTATATAAATAACATTTATTCATGCACATATAGCATCTCTTATGTGACAATGCTTTTCATGCAATTCAACATACTAAAAACCCCAATATTGTTTCATTAGGTAGTAGTTAATTTAATTACTTCTCAAAATTTCTCTTCTAGCAAGATGAATGAATAAATTTGTTGAGATTTTTCAGGGAGCCTCTGGGAAATCTCAAAGTTGTTTCGAGATCAAGATTTTACTTAGAATTAGATTTCAAGAAAGCAAAATGGTCATAAATATCAAAGTGTACGAACACTTGGCTAAACAGGAGTCTGAGTCACTGTGAAACTTCCTTTTTAGCCAACGTGACAATAGAAGAATTAAAAA